CTGCAGGCCATAGGGGGTCTGTCACAGCCACTCCACTCGCCTTTGCAAAGCAGCCATAGACAATGCAGAGACAAACAGGTCTGCCTTTGTCCCCGCAAAGCTTTATTTAAAAACACTGAAATCCAAACTTTATACAATGTTGGCGCCACGATTTATTCTTCTTTTGATTGCTTTCAACTATTTAAGAAGCGAAAACCGTCCTTAGTTCAGAGGCCACGTGAAGTGAGTCACTGGCCTGGATTTGGCCTGGGAGCTTCAGTTTGCAGAGCCCTGCCTTCTCCTAAGCTATCTCGCCCCTCACTACATAAACTCTTATACGGAAAGTACCTGAACAGTGACTAGCACAGACTAGGTGGTCAACAAGTGTTCCTTTCCTTTCCCTTCCCTAATCTTTCTCCCTCTTAACTCCTATCAGCCCAGAAAGTGGCCATTTCATGCTGTGCCCAGCAGTACAAAGAACTGGGCTTGAGCAAGGTGGACTGCACCCTCCTCAGTAAACAGCCCTGTCAGCTCCAAAGCGGAGGAGAGTCTGGGAGTTTTAGGTCAGTGTGTCCTAAACTTGAATGAGCATATAGTCGGGGGTCTGTCTGGGGTGGGGCCTGAGATTCTTGCCTTTCTAACAAGCTCCTGGGGGAGTCAGATGCTGCTGGCGGGCTGGGTCACCTCTGAGCAGCCAGCTTCTAGGGCAAATCCTTTCTGTCTATGGACACAAATGAGACAAGTCAGACACTGCCTCCTGACTTTGGGTTTAGAAGTGTCCTCAGGCTGGACTGAGTGACCCCCTGGAGACAGGGTAGGGGTAAGGACAAATAATGAGGTCCCCTCTCCAAGGACAGCCTGCGATGACTTAAACTGAAGGGGGCAGAGATCAAGAGCAGGCAGAAGGAGGCTGGATCAGGGGCCGTCAGTGGCTTTCAGCAATAGCAGACCTCCTTTGGGCGCTGCCAGACAGGAGCCCCTCCTCCCACACTTGCCAGGACTCTGATGGACCGAAGCAAGAGGCCTATTTCCTCATCGGGCCTCTGAATAACTAGGGCACTTCCACAAGGTCACAGTTATTCATTTAAATTCTAGCTCTAATCAGCAGGCAGAGCCTGAGAAATTATTCCTTCTGAGGAGAGAGGCTGTCATTGGAGCATCATAAACAGCCCCTTCTGGCTGGAGAGAGAACCTGGGGGGAGGGGAAAGGAGGGGTCTCATAGCCCCAGGCCCGGAGCTCTTCCTAGCCTCCAAATTCCTCCTCTAACCACCCATTCCACCCCTACCTCCAAACAGCTTTTTCTCCTCTTGGCTGAGAGTTCTGGAACACACTGGAAGAGGGCTGAAGGCTTGACACTACGGCAGGGCTGGGACAGTCCCCTGCTGCCCTACAGGCAGCCTAGGAGACCAATGACAAATCCCAATAGGCCAGGAGCTTGAGAAAAGTGCCGGATAGTGGTCCCTTTCAGGCCATGAATGGGTTCCATGGCCTTGGAGCTGTCTCTTCACCTCCCCAGGCCTCAGTTTCCTCCTCTGAAAAGTCACAGTGTTGCTCCTCTTGGACCGAATACCCATTAAGCCCCAACATGTCTTGAGACCCTAAAGACTCACAATGCTCCTGGTGCTTGTGGTCACTCTTTCTGCTCAACCAACATGCCCAAGGTCCTACCATGTGCTGTGTACCACGTAAGCAAACACGGGCAAGATGCACCCACAGCTTTGCCCTGGAAACACCAGGGTTTCAAAGTAAAACAGCAGAGGCTATGGAGGCAGACAAGCTTGAGATCCTGCTCTTACACCAGCAGCCGAGGACCCCGGGCAGGTCCCGACCCTCTTTGAGACTCCTTTTCCTCATCTGTACAGAGGACGGCAATGCCTGCCCCCCAAAATGTCAAATCAGAGGATGCGCGAGAGGCGTCAAGGCTGAGTGCCCCTCTCATCCTGCAAGTCAGCACTCTGAACCTCCCTCCCAAAGTCTAGAAAGAGGGGCTGTACATTTTCCCACATGGAAGTCCAGTGACATACCGCCTGCCTCTTGTTTCCTGGGTGTCCAGGATACTCTCTCCAAGTCCCCAGCCAATCTCCTAGACCTTGGGAAGGGCACTGCCTGCCAGGCCCCACGTCTGACTGCGTTTTACAGTAGCATTACTCCTAACCAATCTCTTCAAGACGTAAAATTAATCAGTTAATCAATCATTCCCTTATAGTCCTCCAGCGGCCCCTGGGTAAACAGTTGCATTAGCTCATGAAACCCCCAGTTTGTCTTCCTAAGCAGAAAGAGGAAAACATCAGAGAGCCACTAAACTCTTCTTGTTTCAGAGCCACAGCCCTGCTGACTCCGGATTGCCTGGCCAGGGGCTCAGAGAGGTGGGAGGCTGCCCACTAACCTCCACCGGGCCCAGGCAGCTCACGCTGCCTCCTGCCATATTCAGGGCCACAGGAAAGGCTCTGAATTTCTGATTTGCTTCAGGCTCAGAAACCACAAAAAAGCAAGGGTTCAGTGGAATGACAGGATTGGCAATCAACTTTTGATACCTCAAGGGCAAAACAAAAAATGTATGATTTAGAATTAGACTGGAATCCCCTCTTGGCCCTGCCACTCAGTCGCTCGGTGACATCAGCACATCACTTAACCTTCTGGCCTCAACTTCCTCAGCAGAAAAATAGAGCGCAGGTGACATACTTCAGAGGGTTATTAAGAGGATAAAATGAGATAATGGCCATGAAATTGGAATGGTGCTAGTTGTAGATGCTGTCATCTAAGGCAGGCTCGCCCCCTGACCTCCACCCCTCTGAAGAGATGGAGGGGAACCCATCTTCCACTGCATTTCACCCTCCATGCTGTTGTACCCAGGACCAATATGGAGCCTTTGGGGGAATTAGGAAAAGGTGCCCCATGGTCAGAGGCAGCCCTGTGAGCACAGGCTTGGCAATCGGAATGCAGGCTAGATGTCAGCCCCCACTCATTTGGTCGGCTAGCAGCGGCTATGCAGGGCACAGTGTGCACAAGTCTACATGGGGACCCTGCATCGCATCTCTGCTGGCAACCCAGAAGAGAAAGGGCTAAGCCAAAAGGCACTTTTACAAACCAAACTTGAAGTGTCGGCCTTCCTCCCTCATCTCCTTGATGCATCCCAGAAAACATCACCTTAGCAGACAGGCCTTCTCTGACCACCCTCTGTAAATTAGCAACTTCATGTTTACCTCCTTCATTTTTCTCCACAGCCCTTATCACCCACCCCCTGGTACAACACATGTGTGATGTAGACACATAATATATATAACGTGTGTGTGTGTGTGTAAATATGTATATGAAAATATATACCCATACAGGTAGGGCAAAAGTAGGTTTAGAGTTGTACATACAAGAAACAGAGTTTATTCTTGTACTATTATTTATTAATTATTGTATTATTTTCATACCAACAACTCTAAACCTACTTTTGCTCCACCCTGTATGACTATAGTTTTTTAGTTCACTGTCTGTCCCTATCTAGAATAAAAGATCCGTAAGGATAGGGAGTGTTCTCTTTGTTTACTCTTTTATGCCTAGTGCCTACAGGAGTACCTGGTACCTAGAAGGTTCTCAATAAATATTTGTGGAGTGAAAGATTAACTAAAATATTATCAGATAGAAAGAGTGAATTTAATGGTATCTTCCTGGGAAACGCTGTCTCGTGCTTTGGTTCAAACAATTTTCAAAGGGACGGGGAGTAGACAGACCTGAGGTGGAGAGACCCTGTGTATTAGCTAGGGATAACTGTATCACTCTCCTATGTTGTACGATAGCTCATACAGATTAGTGATCATAAACTCTTCCTAAGTTTGGTTGATTCTTTTAGACATTCAACAATAATTTTTAAGAATTTACTTGGAAGGAAGTCTGCTGATTATGAAAATGTCACACTGCTTCTAAGCTTCTAAGCAAAAATAAACAACAGTCCCATTGAGAAATACTTACCAGATCTTCGATCACTGAGAATTTTCAGTGTGTTCCAATGAACGATGTATGGGCTTTGGAGTATGCAAGTCCTAAGTTCAAATCCCATTGCTACCACCAAGGAGCCTTGGAGAAACTGCTTAACCTGCTGGGCCCAAGTTTCCCCCACATTGAAATGGATATAACCATATTTGTATTGGTGTTATAAGAATTAAATGTTGAAAGGACTAAATAAGAAAACATATGTGGAAATATCTAAAAAAAAGATGATACTCCCTTCTTATTTGGTGGGGTTACTCTTCTTAACTCAAAGTTCTAGCCAGTTTATAGTGATCTCCGAACCATTCTAAATCATGTGATGCTTCTTATCTATAAATGGTTGTATCCTCTCATATGAATCTTTGTGTATGTATGTATGTGTCTAAATACATACAATGCTTAAAATTAGGACTCTGCCTGAGTATGCATTAAAAAGAGATACACACAATTGTCATAAGGATGGTTCTTCCATTTGTTCATTGATAAAAAAATGGGTTTATTTTTTACAGTGAGCATGTATTAGTTACATAACCAAGAAAAAATATTGCTAATTTCATTGTGGAAAAGCCATTTCTTAGAATAAAAAGAAAGAAACCTACATTTACCCACATCATATTTTCCATGCTGAGTATGTCATATCTTCAACTTTCAATCATATGAAGCTACAGAAGGTAAGTAGATTTATGGAGGACAAAGCAAAATGTGCATTAAACTGAAGAATACATATCTTAAGAACATCTGTTTAAAATATATTTTAAAATGTCCACTTTCCAAACTCTTTGATTCATCCAGAAATATTCATCAGAAGGAAGTGAGAATATAAGCATGGGAACTGCATTTGTTTGATTTTAAAATAATTCTTCAAAACCTATACAAATCCATCAATTCAAGGCATTCCTTCTAACCTTAAGTCAATAAAAATGCAGTATTTAGATTCTGGTTGTGTTTACAGTCCCTAGCAGAAAGTCTCACTCAGAGTCAGACATGCACAACCTGGCAGAGAGGAAAGTTACAGGGCAGCTGTGCAGACACAAAGACTCACCTGGACCTTGACTGACATCTGTGGCAGCATTTTCAAAAAGAGGGGAAGGGAGAGGAGAGAAAGGGAGAGAAAAAGGAAGAAGAGTGTTAGCAGCACACACACACAATGCAATGTGCCCTTGCATGACTATCAAGTTCATGCAAGGCCCCAAAAGTGCTCAGTTGCTGAGCACTTAGTTCTACCTTCACCCAAAAACCACCCATGCAAGCTGAGGGGCCAAGCTCCCTGTTCACTGTGCATGTAGCAAGAGAGGCAAGCTTCACATCTGTCCGGAAAAACAACATCCTGGAATCAGATAGGGCTCCGAAGGGCTGAGCAGACTGGAATCCTGCAAGAATATCAGTTAAAATATTCTGATTGATTTCCGCATACCAACGCCCAAGCAAATCCCCCTCCCCTCCAGATACAGAACACTGGACATGGAGTCAAGGAAGGTTTCCCAGTAGAGAGGAAAAATAATAATAATAAATCACTCTGTTGAGGAACAAAGAAAAAGAGGCACAAGAATTAAGAGCGAGTTGCAGCATTGTTCATCACATAGGACTGAAGGACACAGATCACGGAACATTCATAATTCTCTCCCTCCCCAGTATTCCCAATGACCTTTCTTCATCACAGACAGCAGTGTGTGCATGTGGGATTGAGTGTGAGTAGATCATTTGCCTGACATTGAAATTCTGCCTCCTTCTTTAATTTCTCTCCTTGCTTTCACCCCATCATTAATGATAGGAATTGCCATTTGAAATCACTTTTGATATCTACAAATAAACACCCAGCCGTGGGAAGGTTGATCTTTGAATTAAGCCAATGAACTTTCAAAATTGAAAAACAGTTCACTCCCATCATCTCCATGAACACGATCTCCTCCTTCTACCCTCAAATGTAAAACAGAATCATGATAGAGAAGCCAAACTAAGAGCAATCCCAAAGTATTGTTGAAACCCCTGGACCCAATCTTGAGGTTATGCTATAGCCAAGGAGAAGGAACAAGGTTATTTCAGGAAACCACTGGCCATTTGGGTGATCCTGGGTGACTCACTTAGAATCACTGAATGGTGAGTTTGGGATGTCTGTAAACATTATCTACTTTACTCTTTTTTGTTAAGATGGAGGATGAAAAAGGTTGAGAAACATGCCTAAGGTCACACAACTAGTTCAGAGACAGAGCCTAGAAAAGACCCTAGATGTTTTGAATCCCCCCCCCCCAGCTCAACATTCATTCAGCTGAAACCCAAGTCTCTCAAAGGAATATGAAAACCAAATTCAGTTTACAAGCCAAATGAGCACCCTGAAGCCATAAGGGAGCTTGGTGAATGCCTACCAGCTACCCCATGAGTGGGTCACGGGTTATCCTCTGTGCCTCTAATTTGCTGCCATTAGATTTGTCAAGTTCCAGGAAGCTCCTTAGGGCTCTTGCCCCAGAAAAATCCAGGCACCAACCTAACAGAGCTGTGCCTCAGCATCTGGGAGGAGCATATTCATAGCAACAGCTGAGCATTTCCTCAACCCACACCCTATATTCCCTAGAAGTGTTATCTGCCCAAAGAGACTTCTAGAGAGCTCTGAATCACCCCTCAGCTGCATACCCTTTCAAGTTTTCTGGTGAGCTATTAGATTTAGGGGTGGAATGGCAGAGGGGAGGAAGAAAAGAGGCAAAATAGAAGAGATGGGAAGAGAAAACATTCTGCATAAATAACTAAGCAGGGCCATTAACTGTGTCTGATGGCTTGCCTAGGATAGCAGTCATTAAAATACCCCTTGGTTAAACAGGGTATCAAATTATTTATATGTGGTAGAGTTCAGTGGTAGGAATGTCAATGCTGTTATTCATTGAAACATGTTCTTTGGGGGCACCAAGACCCAAGGGAGACAGGATGCCTCAGAACCCCAAAATTCTTTCAATAATACTAAGTTGTCCATTTGGGCATTGTGGCTACAATTCTAAATTTCAGAGACAGACAGGACTGGGTTCAACTCCCAGCCTGCTCAATGGCCTTGGGTCAGTCATCAAATTCTCTCTAAGTCCTTTCCTCAGCTTAAAACAGAAAGGTAACAGAGCCTCCCTCGTGGCAGTGTTGTGAGAATTAAATGAGATTAAATACTTGTAAAGCATTTAACTCAGTACAAGGCAAATACTGTATAAATGGTAGTTGCTCTGATTATTATAATTTTGAATTACCACAGACAGAATTACCAAAAAATGTTGACCAGATGGCTCCCTGGAAATGCCAAGAGACCACAGGAATTAAACTGTATTTCTTTCGGTGATTTGGGTTCGACTCTTCTATTTGTGAGTGAAACCCTCTCAGCTTCCCTTCCTCTGGGCCATCTCACCTCCCTCCCCTTTCCTCAGGGGGAATTGGGCCAGAGAGAACTAACAAGTTCTGGGTGAGCATAAGCAAGAGACAAAACAAATTCCAATCTTTTTTGTGTTTTCCTTCCTCAAACTTTAATTTGGCCCAGTTCTAGTTCTATGTATAAAAAAATCCAGCATCTCTTTTTACCAAAAATGGGCACCAAGAAACCCCACTTTAGCAAGGGTTCAGGGTCCAAATTCAGCTCCTGGCTGTGGCATCAACCTACAGGTAGTTCTGAGGGTTCTGTCCAGTTTGAGGAACAGAGAGACACTGTACCATCTGATTTACCTGAATCTTTGCATTCAGTTCTGACCAACAGAAAGAAATGACAAAGGTAGGAGTGGAATGGGCAGGGGGGTGGGCACAGGGTAGGGATCAGAACTTCAACAATATCTATCTACCGTATTGTCTGACAAGCATCATTTTCTCCTTTTTATAGCAAGCCCCAGTTGTTTTCTTGGGACCCCCGTTCCTACCCTTAATCCATATGGCTTGGTAGAGATGACCCACACCCCACCCTAGCTCCAAAGATAGGCATGTGACTCAGACCAGGTCATGAGAAACTGTACCACAGCTGGTACAGTTTCCTTATCCATAAAGTAGGTGTGATAATAGTTCCTACCTTCTAAGGTTATTTTAGGAGCTTAGAAGAGTACCTAGCATATGGAAAGCCCTCAGTCAGTGTTAGCTGGTAATTTGATTACCTTCATATAAGAGAGGACAAGAATATTAAAAAAAAAAACACACACCCCAAACCTTCCGACAGTCACACAGCAATGAAGTCTGCCCTAGAATGTAGCTGTGGTGGTTTTGACTCCATGCCTTGCTGCCTTCTGTTTCCAAGGGAATCACCCCTAGAGTGCCCTCTGTCTGTGGCTGCTGTTGATATACAGCCTGGGATCTGTGTTTGGGAGAGCAGCACTGGGCCCCAGAACTGGCCAGAGGAAATGTGTGAGTGTGTGTGTGTGCACATACATTTTGAAATAGATTAAAAAGTGGGGGGAAATTGCAGAAGCAAAGGCAGTTGACAACCAGATGTGACTGATCCAGGGGAGATGGCATCCTCGGCCCTGCCAGCCCTTCCCTGCTCCCTCCTGCTGTTTTATTTTCTCACACTGCTGGGCCTGTAGTTTTCCAGAGTGCCACAGCATGTAAATCTATATTCTATTTTCTCTCCTAGAAAATAGGTCAGACCCAAGGCAGAGTTCACCGGGTGGGGTCCCGGAAGGTTTGGCTGGGCCTTGCCTGCAGGAGGCAGCCTGCTCCACGCTTCCCAAAGCTCCTCCAGGGGTTTGGGGGGTGTGGAAGTAGCAAGTGGGGGAGTCTCAGGCTCCTGCCTCTTGAGAGGATCGAGTCCAAATGAAGGGTGACGGGAAGGCTCCCCAGGCTAAGCTATACTCTGCAAGTGCAACAGCAGCAGATGGAGGGTCCTCCCCTCACCAAACCCCGACTCCCACGCCTGCAGTTAGAAAAAGCAGATCTCCCCAAACTGCAGGAAATTGTTCCTTTGAACTTTAAAATAACCATGCTGATCGTCCGCACTTGTGGCTGAAGTTGCTGAAGACACTGTGTCTGTGGGGTACTGAGTGTCTGTGGGGTACCGAGTGGAAGTAGGAATGTAGGAATACCCCAATTTACTTCTTCCCAGGTCGTGAAGGCAGAAAGAGTGGGTGAAGGGTGATGGCAGCTTTTGAATCCTTCCTTTTCTGGGTTGCTCCCCTGCCCCTGGTCTGAGCATGGCATTCCTAAGAGAGAGGTGGCTGCAGTCTGGGCCAGGATTTGTTTTCATCAGGATTTTGCCCCCTAGGATTTTTTTTTCTGAGCACCTGCTATCCACCCAGGTCAATGTAAATGCCAAACCTAGAAGGATAGAAGAGGAAAGATGCCCATGAGCCAGTCCTCAGTCCTGCTATGATGGCAGTAGAAGCAACTAACACTAATTGAGCAGGTCTTGCCTAGAGCCTGTGCCTTTGCTATTTCCCTGCCTGAACAGTCTTTGTCAGGCATATGTAAAACTGTTCTTCACTTTCTTCAGGTATCAGCTCAAATACAACTTCCCCAGAAAGGCCTCTTCAACCACGTCTTCTAAAATAGGGACCCCCCTCCACCCCTTACTCTATTTTTCCTTTCATCATGGCACTAGTCACTATTTGACACTGTTTGACTATTCGAACTAATCACTGGGTCCATGTTTTTATTTTTTTATATCCCCCACCAAATCACAAGTTTTATGAGAAAAGTATTGTCTGTTTTATTAAACACTTGTGTGCCTAGAGTTTAAGCAGGGTCTAGCCTCTAACAGGTGTTCAGCAATGTGTATTGAATAGTGACTAGTTCATCTCAGTTGATACAATTCACTGAGATAGATTCCATGAGTATCTCCATTCACACATGAGACAACTGAGGCTCAGAGAAGTTAAGGCACATGCCTGCGCACAGAGGGGCAGAGCTGGGACTGGACTCTGGGTCTAGCTTCATGCCCTTACTACGTGGAGAAACCCTGTTTTCTTTGCTGTTGGCCTCATTATCATGTGGGCTGTCTCCACAGGGTAACAAAGATGAAACCCAGCAGCTCTAGAGAAAAGACAGCAGCCTATTTCCTGATCATTCTAGAAAAATTTCCTGGGAAGTCTCCCTCAGTTTGGCTGAGGTCACATGTCT